TGGCTACTTAAATTCTGTTCTTTTTTACTATTCAAGTGTAGCAATGCCAATTCAGCCTTCTCTGCAACAGTTCCAGCTGGCCTGCTCCAACCAGCCAAAAAAAAATGGTGTTTTTAACAACATATGCGAACTCAACCATACAGCTCATGCAGAAAAAAAACAGTACTACTTTCCAGTAGCATCAGATGTGCTGAACTGGCACATTACAGGTGCAGCTGTATTTAGGTAAATGGAAGGTTTAGTGCCATTTTCCCTGTATTTGCATTAAAGAAGCCAGTGTCTCACATCACAACCAATTTTCAGCATTACAGATAGGGATTGTGTAAAATTCACATTTCTCAATTTTCATTACTGTTGTCCATTGTAGATTAAGTTCTGCAAGAGTAGTGGCCTGCAGAAAAGCACGTTTACAGCAGACCATCTTGGGATCAATAGCTAGCTGTAAAGCTATTGATAGCATAATTCCTGTAACTTCCAATCAAATGCCCTTGACAGATATGACTCAGAAATAAAACTACCATGTAACTGCTGTAGGAAAGAAAAAATTCTGGGAGTCACTACACTGAAAACCAAGCTCTTTCTATGTAGCACAATTAATCAGGAAGCTTTCATGCTAATGTGGCATTCATGAGCATAATGAGAAAAATACCTTCAGTCCTAAAAAAAAAAAAAAAAAAAAAAAAAAAAAGTTTAGACATTAAAAATAAGATAAATCAATAAAATCTAGGTTTAAGATTTTTTTTTTTTTTTTGGTTGGTTGGTTTTTGGCTTCTTTTCTTTCCCTGTAGAAACAGAGCTTCATTGACAGTCTAAAGTTCTTCAATTGTTTCTCTTTTGTAACTTCTACACAATTCTACTCTTAACCAGGCAACACTGTCACTTCTTGAGACCAAAACGTGAACACCTACCTTTCACAAGTCTAATATCATTTCATTAACAAAGTGGAGACATAAAAAATTAACTGTGTTGTTGTACGTTGTGTAATAAGTTTATGAAGGAAAGCAGAGAGGCCTCGTAACAAAGTGTTTCCAACACTACGATTACTCCAGCGAAAACAAAGCTATTACTCACGTTCTCTTCAAAAGTACGACTTCCTATTCCTCACTGCTTTCATTTTTGCATCTACCTCTCATGATCCTTCTCAAATCCTCCCTCTGAATCTACAGCTCTTCATTTACCCTAGATGCACACTTTCAACTCATTATTACCCAATCTCGTCTTACCGTTGGAAGCACCCACTGCTTTTAACCTATACTCATTGTAGAGCCTGATAAGATTCTTTATGAAAGTTACCACACTACCAGTTTTTGTGTCAGAAAACGTGATTACTGATGTTTCTACTTCCAGGAGGTCAGTAAAATAACACATTAAACTTCTCAGCAGGCCTTTACACACTGATGTGATATATATGCAGAAGTACAAAAGATACTTCTGTAGACAAAAAAGCAATTCAAGCCATAAGCACAGCTGAAACTTTTGAGGTCAATACAACACAGCTGACTGCTATTGCAAGGTCTTTAACAGGTAGATAGATACAGTTCCACAGTGCACTGTATGACAGTCATTGACAATTCACTTTTCCCCAGAAAATTGAGATCTGATACCATGATTTAGCGTGGCATTTTCATAAAAACCTTTAGAATAACAATGCATTTAATAAGACCACGTCATTTGAGTTCTTACTGGAACTACTTCCCCTTCAGCATGTGCCATTTAATTTTGTTGCCTAAAAACCTTCCAAACACAGGTTCAGTCACAGTGGGATGGTTTTTCTTCCCATTTCACATTTCAGAGTTTTCTTAAGGCAGCACAGCAAAGAATAGCTGTGGCAGAGATTCAGTCTTTCATTCCACTTCCAACAGCTGTACAGCATATCAACAAGAAAGGAGATTTGTCTTATCTATGGCTTATGAGAGTTGCTATAGGCCCTCATCATCATTTTCATATCAAGCAGCAGTTTCATCAGCAGAAAGCTCCCACTGTGATCAACAGGAAGTAGATTTCTGTGCCTCTTCTGAAATGACATACAAGCTGTTAATGAGAGAAGTGATAAAACACAGACTGAATCATGAAGATCCACTACCTATGTGAAATCTCTCTGCTATTCTGTGAACCCTTATTTTTCATTATACAGATATAGGTGAACCATGTGCTATGTATAAACTGCCTTTCTCCCACTCACCAGATCAGTGTGTCTTTGAGAAGCAGCAGCTAGTTTTTATCCATTTCTTCACCAAAAAAGTGACAAAATCTAAAGCTTGTTTCACGTAAGGGGAAATTACACAGTTTGAACCCTGCTTCTATCTACTTCACTTAACCATCCTTTTCTTTAAAATTTCTGCATCTTCCCTGTGAAATCTTCCCATCTTTTGTTATAGATTCAAAACCAGAATTATAGGCATGGGAAAGAAGTACATTCTTTCACTGATGTTATGCATACAGATTTCTATCTGCTGTTCCAGTGACAAAAATGTCAAATAAGGAATTTTTATCATAAGTAAAAACATATTAATATATATTTTCAGTGATACAGTGACTACTCTGTATTCTGATCACTAAGACTGTTATTTTCCTTTTATTTACCAGTGCAAAAATTATAGTACAAAATGCATGTCTGTTAAGGGATGAGTAATTCATGAGGTAAATATTTTTCAGCTCTCGCATAACATGGCATTACTATAAAATAAGATTTCCTTAAATTGTGCAGTGTTATTTCATCTTCAGAAACCCTGACACTTTCCACAAGGAGGACACCAAGCGACTGGCTGGTTTTTAGAGATCAGCAGATGGACAAATTAAAAACATTACTCTAAGGACTAGTGTGACTCCCACAGAGCAGGTAGAGAAGGTCTATTTGTTAAACAACAAAAGCCCAATGCTGGAAACCCTCCATAATCACTAAACATGTTGTTCAAGTGACCTCCCTCCTCAGGGCCAGCATTCGATTCCTGTATGTTGAGCAGGGAAGTGCCACTGAAGATGCTTAAGCACAGCTCTGCTGAAGCAAACTAATGAGGGCACTGGGCATGCCCTGAGAGCCAGGTGCTGTTCTTGAGCTCAGCATGCAATTTCCTGGAAATTCATCCAGTTATTCATCCAGTACTCACCAGCGCCTGCCCAGAGCTGGCAAGACTCAATTGCCAAATGTTTCTTTATTGAAACTCCATCTTATGAAAAAGTCCTTCTGATGAAATTAATATAAAGTGGATATCCCATCCATGATGAATAGCAAAGGAAATAATACATAGACAGCTACAGTATACACAATGCTCTCCACTGATATGAACATACTACCTGTGGTAGTCTTTCATTCCCTTTTGTTGTTTGTTTTATAGGTTACAAGTCTATCTGTGGTAAGTGGAAAATGTGAATTGTGAATTTGATATCTGAATTTACAGATTACGAGAATTAAAGACTTCAGGATTTGGAACTGAGATGTTAACCCCTTGCCAAGAGCAAAGAAACAGATGTATTATTGGAAAAAAAGGTAGTATAGTTCAGTAACCAGGTTTGCTACCATGGAAAATAGGTGACAGCAGTTTCTACACAGGATATCTGTGGTTTCACCAAGTCTAGGATTCTCTGGGGATGTAACTGCCTTCCCCTTTGAAGGTTTCTGAGTATAGCAGCCTAGTTTCTTTCAGGCTTGCAAAGCAAAAGCTACAGATTAGAAGGGACAAAAGAACAGCAACTATGAAAATGATGCTTAAGGCATCCTTCTAAAAGCCCTTTTTTATTGAAAATTACCATTAGAATAATTTTAATTTCAAGCTTAATCCTCTGCTATATAGCAACATGGTCATCACTACTGGGATGTACTTACAGTGCTGGTTTTGTTTCCAGTGTTCACTGGTCAAAGATTGCATAGGACAGTAGATCAACAAAACTTGAATAAGCAGTTAATGACAAAAGTCAACCTCTTGTGCAGCTTTCTTTTCTTGTTGTTTTTAAACCATGAGTGGCCCAAATTAATAAATATCTCATTGATTCATCCATGAAAAAGCTCCATTACATAGCAATAATGCAAATAAGAGCTATACTGCAATTGCTGAAGACTGTAAAAAATCTAAACTATACAGAGATGCACATAAGATTATCTTTCCAACAGCAATCTAACCTCAATTTCCTTTTTTTTATATTCTTTTCATACTAAGTCACCACACCAAAAATCACACACATCACACTGTAAACACAAAGTATTTGCAGGGTTTTAAAACGCTGAATAGAAAATTTATCGTCCCCATTACAGATGCCATGTCCTAAGATGAGAGTACTGAAAATACTCTAAGTTAATCATATGGAACAATGTTCCTACCAGTTGAGCAGGGTAAAATAAAAATAAAAAACCAGGCACATACTTCACTCAAAGCTTGGCACAAACTGAGTTTTATATTTTTTCTTATTGCTTCTTTACACCCATCAAAGGGTATTAAATTTCCTTGTGCAGAGACTTCTTTTTGCTATGTTTCAGCACAAAGTAAAATTTTTGCTGAAGAAGGTGCATCAGACATAGTGAAAATGCTAACTCTAACTTTTGGGTTAATTCCAGGAAACATAACGCTGTGAAAATTACTCCAAACATAGAAAAGAGGAAGCATGTGTGAAAAAAATATGGCAATAGTTATTTTGAAAATTAATTCTTAAAGTGAATAGTACTCTGCTTTGACAAAAAGTGTTTTCAGGGAATGGGTAGAGGCCATGTTGAACTTCCCTACACAGCTATATGACCCTTGCCAATCAATGACAATGCTTTATTAATATTTTACTTCAGAAGTGTGAGATAATTCAAACTTTGGCTTTCTTTGTAGCTGTTGCTAAGCAACTTCGCTGCTTGTCTGAGAATTAGTTTTCACTGCAATCTTTCCTTCAAACCAAAGACCTGTGTCACTTAAAACACTTTCCCTTCACCAGCGAGGGGCCCAGCAAGTTCTATCCCCCCAATACTTATATTTCCTTTTCCTAGTTAGATTTAGCAGCGTCTGAAATTCTGTTTCACTCACCGTAATCGCTGTCATAAAAGACGATGAATTTCTGCCACCGCAGCTCAGTGACCAATTTCAGCATAACATCATTGAGGCGGACGGGCGGACGGGCAGCCAGTGTGTACTCCTCCTCCTCCAGGCTGGGGTTCAGGTGGCAGGCGGTGCGTGGGGAGCCTCCCGTGTTGCGCTGCACAAAGAGATGTGGGATGTGCATGGCATCTGTCAGGGACTGCAGGGCGTTGGCCGAGGCACAACCTGTGGATGTCACCAAGGCTAAGATCCCCAGGGTCATCAGGTCGCAGGCTGCAGAAGACAAAACATAAAGGTGGGTTAGAGCGGCTCTGAAATTCCTTTGACTGACTTGCACACCAGGAAGGGGACGTGACAGGCTTTGCCCTTGCCATTAAGACAGAGTGGAAGAGATTTCTGTTACAGTATCAGCTGAAGCCTTTCAGAAATCATCCTGTATCTTTACAGTAGGCGACTTCAGTCTGTACAGATAAGATTAAGTTGGGGACAGATAACATTACTGCTGCCATTTCTTCATACCAAAGCCAATATAAATGGAGATGCGGCCCTTACTGCAGGGCAGAGGCAGGAACCAAACTCCGGATCCTCACAACTCACTTCACTGCTTTCCCCTCTATGCTGCACACGCTGTGAGTGGCCTTTGGATAACAAAGAGTAATTTTTGTTTCAAGGATTTGTTTTAAACAACAGAGTTTCAAAAGATTTTTAAATTGACGAAGAAACATTCACTGAGTGCCTCTCAGAGCAACAACAGAAGTGCTCATTAGAAGGAAGGCAATTCAGGAATGACTAAACAATCATTAGTAACACTGTAGTTCCCTTTAGAAAAATCAGGGAAAGCATGTGCCATTGAAAAACAGATATAGATATTTGAGCCCGTTCACTTCCAAGAATGAAGCAAAACCAAGCTCAAAGCACAGCCTGGCAGGATGGGCAATGCCAGCAGCAGTGCCCCGCAGCCTGGGCCTACTCACACCCGGCTTGCTTTTCCTCAGGGTGAGCCTGACTTCAGCTGGGGCTGGAAAAGGTTTTCACTACAGCCCTCAGCTACAGCTCAGCAGCTACTCTGTCAGTGCTGTGGTACAGCATATCCCAGGAGCTCTCAGCAGCCACAAGCCTTCACGTAGGCGCCCAGTGCTTCTCACCACATTCCTCCCTTGAAGAGGGCTGGGGGTTTGCTCAGGATTCAGCTCTTGGGGGGAGCAGACTGAGCACAAATAGGAAAATGTACACAGGGTACTGGAAGGATTCTTTTGTCCTCCCTTTTCTAACGTTTTCATTTATATCTCCATGTTCAGAGGTCAAAAAGCCAAGGGAGAGGGAGAGTTTATGAATAATTAATAACAATTAGCTGTAAATTATCAATTAATATAGATTTTTATGAAGTCATGGTATTTGAATACATAAAACTGTGCCTAATTCAACCAATGCATCATTTCACCAAATACCTTCTTAGAACAGACAGAAAACAAATTTATTTCACATTGATATGAGATAATTGAGAAAAACATTTTATCTTCTCTATAAACAGAGTGTTCAACATGTATTCTAATGCAACAGAGAAAAACGAAATGCTTTCAAAATTATTTTCTTGATGATCTTTACAATAAACACGTCAGCTGCATTATCTAAATTTACTCTTTGTTAATTATAGTTATATGAATTTGTACTTTGTTTTTCCTGAGAGCTGACCTGGTTTAGCAACAGGGAGGCATTACATTTGCCAAATGGGAGATCCAGGTTTGGGAACAGATTTGATTTCCCAGGCTCCTTGCCAGAGAAAACTGAACATGTCATACAGGTAATTTATTTAGTCACAGCAGGGGAGGGAACAAGAAACAGAGAAGTGAGAACAGGGAGAGAAGAGCAGAGCTGAGCTACAGACCCCTGTGGAGAGCACCAGCCACTGAGCTTTGCTGCACTAAGGGTGAGAAAAGCAAAGCCCCACAGATCTACGGAAGGAACAGTTTACTTGCACAAACAACACAGAAGAAGAGAAGAAATAAAGCCCTTTCTTGCAAGAGACTGCATTCAGAGAGTCACTTATTCATGGAATATAGAACCCATCATCAGTTGCATTACAAGAGAAATCTTCATTCCGAAGGCGGCAGTAATCAAAAGCTGCTCACTTACCAGCAGCAAAAAGACCTGTGGTACAACAGACCACAGCAAATGGTCCCCCATTTCTCTCGGCACAGATCAGAGCTGAACTATCTCAGCAAAGACTGCTTTGGTTGAGGAACTGTCACAGTGTTCTGCAGTTTGTGCCAGTGGGTTAAAATGAAAAATTAGCCAATCAGCTTTTACATTGTGATATTTTGTCAATTGATTGTTTTCAGCCTGAAAGCATATGCTACACAGTAAGTGTTTTTTCCTCTTGCCTTTCTGTTTTCAGATAGTACTGCCAGCAATAAAAATTGGAATGACTAAGGAAAAAAGGTTTCATATTTTCTGAATCATTTTCTTTAGTCAAATTACAGAATGTGAAACCGAACATGTCATCACTTCAATAGAAGACTTGCATTATATAAAAATACGATGGATTCCAAGAAGTTTAACCTCCACAGTCTTCACTGAAGCTAAGAATAGGCCCTTAGCACATTTAGAAGAAAACTACTTTCTACATGAGTAGCACAGTGGGCAACAACTACAGAAGTATAATAGACTCTAATTCATTAACTCATTAACTCTCAAGACATCTTGCAATTGCTTAGCAATAGGATGTTCAAGGGTTACAAGATCTCAGAAGAAAACTGCTGATTTCTCATGTCATTCTGTGGCAAGAGAAAAGACGTGTAATTTTGTTTTACCTCATACTAGCTATTGATATAGGTTTGTTTAGCAATAGGGATTCCTACATTAGATTGCGAATCAATTTACTACATTAGCAAGAGAAATCGTTAAGCGATAGCTCTAAAACTTTCCATTTCAACTTTAGTGTGTTTTCCTCAATAATTTTGCACTGCAGACATAATGAAACACTTTTATCTTTTGCCTCAATGATTTTGCCTCACAAGAAGCACCAGTGTCACCATAGATCTTTTGCCTCAAAAGGCACAAGGACATTTTCTTTAGATTCCACATACACTGTTTTAAAAAGTTGCACACTATGGCCTAATGAGCAGCGGAAGTTTTCCAAAGACCTTAGTGATAAAACTGATAGTGAAAAATGTTGAAGTAGGTGGGCACTTGACCACCCCAGACAGCACTGAGCAAGCTCAAAGAGACATTAGCATATATTTATGAGTCCTTGGAAAGGAATGGATATGTATGCCAATGCACTCCATATACATGTCTTAATAAAACGTACAGTGTGAACTCTCAGACAGTGCACTTCCTTGTCAAGTCACTGGTATGCATTGCAAGGAATAAAACAATGCTGCTTTCTAACAGCACACTGTAGATAGAGGGTTTTCTTCCCGGGTTTTGGATGACACTACAGATTCTGAGCAACCATTCAGCATCACTCAGCATGTGACTGAGTAGATCTACAGTTACGTACCTCGGCTATCATTTCACAAGTACCTCAATGGGACTTCAACTTCTTGTACATAAATTGCACAAATCCCATCTTTATTTCCTTAAAGCTGAACAGAAGTTTGAAGCACTGTGGTTCACACAAGTTTGTTAGCATAAGGGAGAGAGGAATCCAAACGCACTGACTTTTTGGTCATTTTTTTTATTACTAGAGATGTACCACACTTTCATCTAGCAAAGATACTTTCATATTTATCTACCCTGAAGTTAATATTCTGAAGTTTCAAGAAATAAAGAAATAATGACTTTTAATTTGAGTTCGACAGATAAAAGAGAAAGCGTTTTGGCAAACTTGTCTCCAGATTGCAGTGCTATATGAATAGCAATAGTTATTAGTTTCCTGTATTGAATGCCTTCATCACTGTCAGGATGCAATTTAAGAGGATACCACCATCCCACAAACCATGCTGTAAGAAATTTACATGGTAACCTGGTGAAAACATGATCACTACGCTTAAAAGAATAAATCTGCATTTAAACCATTTGAGTTGATTAAACTATTTAATGGCACTATTGGTCAATGTTCTAACAGTATATAATCTCTCAAGCTTATACTTGATTTGTTTCCTAAATTATTAATTAATACAATTTTTAATCATCTCAGTGAAGTATCTCTCCTAACCTGTTCTTTTGAAGCCCACTTTCAGAAACTCCTTTTTTCACACCTGCTTGACATTTTTTGTCTCAAATTGCTATTTCTATTACTGAGGAACGGATGAATTCTTCATCTACTAGATTGTTGTTTATTAACATCTGCCTTCTTTGTAGTCAGCATCCTTTTTCCAGATTTTGTCAGATGTTATCTTTGTCATGATATTGGCAGAAGTAACGGGTTGATATTTTTGGGGTTGATATTGTTTTACACCCATTTCTCTAATTTGACTCTAATATCATAGTGATATATAGTAATTTTTTCCTCATTTGTTGAGTGCATCTCTAACTCTAAATATATTCCATTAAGATCACAAGTGAGACTGGAAGAGCAGCTATGATTTTTCACACTGCATCTTATCCCCACTGCCTTTTTCAACATGTGGAATTCTTCATGGCATATGAGATAATGCCATAATTCTGATTTGCTACAACTACATTTAAGATTTTACTGTTCTACCACTGATTCCTCTATCACCATCCTATCTCTGAAGACATATGAACAAACTGTAAAGTTTGGCATCAGCTTTATAAGGGTATTTGCATTAAGGGCTTTAGCTCAAATCCCCCTGTAATTGAATCCCTCTTTCACTCTGCATGGAATCAAAATGCTTCAAGTGAAACTGCTATCCTGCTCCTGGTGACATGACAGTATGGTTATCTTTCAGTCCCCTTTTCCTTTGTTTCCACAGTTATCAACAGTCCAGCTGCCACTGATTTCTGTTCTACTAAGACATCCTCCTGCTGACATTCACACTGCCTCTTCCAGCTTCTACGCCCTGACATCTTTCACTTCTGTGTGTCACTAGAGCAGGTCCTGACCACTGTGGACACCATTAGATAAATACTCCCTTATTTTTTTTCCTTAAATTATTCTCATCTTTTCCAGTTTGACTAGCCCTTAAGAGCTCATTACTGCACAGCAAATGGAGTATAATTCTAACCAAACAACTACTTGTGTTTTAAACAATTTCACTGTTTGAAAACTGCTTTTTTTTTTTTTTTTTTTTTTGGCTTAGAAAGATTCTCAAACAAAGGATGAGAACATCAATCAGACATAGGACACAGCAAAGGAATGGAAATCC